TGACTAACAACAGGAGGAGGTTTCCTCGAGCTGATACAGGGCGTCTCTGGAAACTTCCAGTTAACTTCATATGAACACCACAACACAGAGTGGCCTGCCCCTAGTACCAGGAGCCATGCGAGGATGTGTGTCTCCGCCCCTTCTGTAAACACGGTACTGTCGGTCCCAGCCAGTGTCACAGGGAAAGTCTGGAAAGAAAGAAGTAAAACTGTCTCTGTTCACGGCTGTCATCAATGTTTGCACCGCAGATCCTTAAAGAATCGACAAGAAGCTACTCTATTTTTTTTTAAATTTTTTTTTAATTTTTATTTATTTATGATAGTCACAGAGAGAGAGAGAGAGAGGCAGAGACATAGGCAGAGGGAGAAGCAGGCTCCATGCACCGGGAGCCCGATGTGGGATTCGATCCCGGGTCTCCAGGATCGCGCCCTGGGCCAAAGGCAGGCGCCAAACCGCTGCGCCACCCAGGGATCCCCAAGAAGCTACTCTAGATATAATAAGTGAATTTAGGAAACACACAGGATACAAAGTCAGCATAAAGAATCAGCTGTATTTCTAAATCCAGCAGCAGATACTTGGAAAAATAAAATTTAAAATTCTTGGGAACGCCTGGGTGGCTCAGCGGTTGAGCATCTGCCTTTGGCTCAGGGCACGATCCTGGAGTCCTGGGATCGAGTCCCACGTCTGGCTCCCTGCATGGAGCCTGCTTCTCCCTCTGCCTGGGTCTCTGCCTCTCTCTGTGTGTCTCTCATGAATAAATAAATAAAATCTTTAAAAAAAATGTAAAACTCTTACTACAATAGTGTAAAAAAGTAAAAGTACTTAGGAGTAAGTTTTAACCAAGCACACGGAAACCTCTCTGCTAAAAACCTAAACTACTGCTGAAAAATTAAGGGTGACGTGAATCGATATACCCTGTTCCTGCATTGTGAGACTCCATACTGTTAAAACGTTAATTATCTCCAAATTGATTCCTTCCCAATCAAAATGCTGAATCATTTAAAAATATATTTTTTATTTATTTATTTGAGACAGAGAGGGAGAGCACAGCAGGGTGAGGGGCAGAGGCAGAAGGAGAAGCAGACTCCCCGCTGAGCAGGGAGCCCAACGCGGGACTCGATCCCAGGACTTGGATCACAACCTGAGCCAAAGGCAGATGCTTAACAGACCGAGCCACCCAGACTCCCCTGAGTCATTTTATAGAAGTTCACTCTTACTTCTGAGAAGGATGTGAAAATGCAAAGAATCCCGAATAGCCCAACAATCTTGAGGCTCAATGCAGTTGGATGGTTCACACCACCCGACTTCCAGATGGACTGGAGGTTCAGCAGTTGGGACTGTAGGTAATTGGTGTAAATACAGACATTTATGTGAATGGAGCAGAACAGAAGCCCAGCTGCACACACGTGTGGTCGACTGGTTTTTTAAAATCGAGATGAAATTCATATACTGTAAAACCGCTCGTTTACCAAGTGTCTTAGTACAACCATAATGCAGTGGACCATGGTTAATTGATCTTTTTTGCCAAGGTAACGAGAGGATTCAATCAGAAAAGGAAATTTTTTTCAACAAATAATTGGAACAAGCAGATAGACAGGTGGAGGCGGGAAAAATGAACTTCAGCTCTTGACTCACACCACACACAAAGAGTTGGAGACGGATCACAGATAAAACCCTAAAAGCTTGAACCGTAAAACCTGCAAAAGAAAACAGGAGACGGTTTTCCTAGGAAGGGCGCAGAAAACAATACACATCAAAGGGAAAACGGGTAACTTCGGCTTCGTTAAGATTGCAAACATCTGTTCATGCAAAGACACGGCTCAGAAAATGCGGTGGCAGCCACAGACTGCGAGGAAGGATCCTGTGCGGATCTCTGACACGGGACCTTTGTCTGAAATACCTTTGTCTGAAAGACCCTACTAATCGCCAACAAAAATAAACACCAGACAGCATTAGTCATGAGGGACACGCAGTAGAAACCGCAGCGAGATAGCATTTGTCTCCCGCAAGGCGGCCGGAGTTAAAAATCACCGACAGCACCGAGTAGTGGCAAGAGCGCGGGGCAAGTGGACTCTGGGACGCGGGGAGGGGGCCGTGGGGCCACCACAGCCGCTTGGGGAAAACTCTTCGACCATTTCTTATAAAGCTCAGTGTACGTCACCCTCCGACACGGAAATTCCATTTGTTGATGTCATCCCGAGAGGAAGGAAGACGAGTCTGGGGAAGGACCTGTGAGAGCGCGTGCCCAGGAGCTCCGCCCGTTAGGGCTAAAGGCCCAAGAGCCGCTCAAGTGTTTTTCGACGGGAACAGGGACAAACAAGTGGGTGCCGGACGCACGCGATGCAATAGGGCCCGGCGGTGAAAGGGACACGGGGGGTCCCGGGGGAGCCTCAGAAGGCTTTTGTTTTTTAAGATTTCTTAAAAAATTTATTTCTTCATCAGGGACGGAGAGAGAGAGGCAGAGACCCAGGCAGAGGGAGAAGCAGGCTCCATGCGGGGAGCCCGACGTGGGACTCGATCCCAGGACCCCGGGGTCACGCCCTGGGCCGAAGGCGGGTGCGCCACCACTGAGCCACCCAAGGTGCCCCAAGGGAGCCTCAGAAATTTAAGTGAAAGAAGCGAGACCCACAATAATTTCTATTTATACGAAATCCAACAAGAGGCAAAACGGACGAGTGGTGACAGGAACCCGAGCCGAGCTGGCACGCGGGTGGGCCTGGCGGGAGGGCCGTGAAAGGACGTTCCGGGGCTGCGGGAACGCTCCGGGTCGGGCTGCGGTGCTGGGTGGCGGGTGGATCCAGTCATTAAGACTCACCGACGTTGTGTCTGGACACGTGGGCACTCCGCCCTCCGTGACCGCGGTGACGTCAGCCGTCTATACAGGCTGTCCTGCACCGTGACCTTCCCGGGGACACCTTGAGCTCACGCCCCCCCCCCCCCAGCACCAGCCTCTGGGCTCCCGCAGTGCCGGCATCTGGGGTCAGCATGGTTGGTGTCACCCGCCCCAGGAACGCTTTGGTGAGCGGAGTGGGCGCTGCCGTCCTGGAGGGGCCTCCCCTGCCTGTCAGGCCCCCCGTCGTGGTGGTGGTCACCTGCTGTCTCTGGGGAATGGGCCCCCGTCCCTCCCGAGGCCCCGACGGACCTGCAGACCGGGCGGGCCCGCGGAGGAGGGGTCTGCAGGCCCGCCCCACGTCAGGCTTTGGCCCGATGAGCAGAGGGACGCCCGGCCCGGACACAGTGGCCGGGTGTGGCCGTGGGGTCCCCGCCTGCAGCACGGGCCTGGGCGGAGGCAGCTCCGTGGCACCATGGGTCTGGGCCCGGGGCCAGCTGGGGACACTCCAGGTGGGGAAGTGCCAGCTGAGAGCCCGCTGACCAGCAATCTGAGACCTCGGTCCACGTCATCGAGGTCCCCCGGGGTCACGGGGGCTGCAGGGTGCTGTCCCCAGCTCCACCCTGCCTGGCGGGCGCTTGCCCACTCCGCGCTGGCCGTGCGGGAAAGGGGACCGTGTGTCCCGGGGACGGCGGCCAGGCTCCCTCCCAGGATTGTGCTTGAGGAGCGCGGCTGGGCGGCAGGAGAGGCCTGCCCTGCACCCGGCCCGGCCTGGCCCGTGCCCACCACACCTGGCATGTCGGGGGGGGCAGGGCCCTCTCCCCGGCTGCGGAAGGGGGTCTCGGGTGCCTCCCAGGTCTCCTGGGACCCTGCCCACAGAGGCCAGCCCCGCCTGGGGCTGGAGGGGACCCCCGACACGGGGGAAGACACACCGGGGCCCCAGGGAGAGGCCGCGGGCGGAGGGGCAGGGGGGCTCCCCGGGCGGCGTGACTCTCGCAGACAGGGGCCTCAGGAGGGCCTGCACCCCCCCATCTCAAGTCGGGACCGTGGGGGTGGGGGTCGCGGGGCCCAAGGGCACAAAGCCTCCTCTGTGGCAGCGCCCGTGGGCAGCAGAAGTCACAGCGGCTGCTTCTGTCGTGTTGTCAGTCGGCAAAAATAGACGGCGACTCGCTTCCCGGAAGGGCCCGCGTGGGTCTGGGCCAGGCGGCCGGCTGCCCTTGGCCTGCTGAGCGCCGCCCTCCCGCCCGCCCCCGCTGCCTCGCGCTTCTCATCCGGGAGGCCCCCCTTGGGGTCCCGGGACCCCTGCGCCCACAGCCCCCTCCGGGCTCCCCGGGCTCCCCGGGCGTGCTGAGCTGCAGGCCCGCCCCGGGCCGGGCAGTCAGTGCTATGGGCACAGGCCCGGGCTTACCTGGCGCCCAGGGCAGGCTCTCGGGGTGACCCTGGGCACGAGTTGGGGGCAGCAGGAGCACGTGGCTACCGCCACAGTCTACATTCTCACTGCCGCGGGCCGTGCCCCCCAGGGGGGTCCCTCACTGACCACCCCCAGAGCCTCCGGCACGCTCAGGACACAGGACCCTGCATGTCCAGCAGCTCCTGCCCCAGGCCTGCCCCTGGCTCGGCCCCCAGCATGCGGGATGCGGGGTGCAGGCCAGGCGGCGAGACCAGAGAGGCCCGCGTCTGCACACGGCCGCTCCCCCTGCTGGGCCCTTTCTGCCCCCCCCCCCCAGGAGCTCTGTGGGGCCCTCCTGGGCCGTGAGCATAGCCGGGGTGCCTGGGGCTGGGCCAGGGGGGACCATGTCTAGGGGGAGGCTGCCTGCTGCTGGCTTGCGGGGGCCCAAGCCCTGAGCTCAGGGTGCCCAGCGGGGCACAGGCTGGTCTATCCAGGCCCCAGGTCACCACCAGCTCATCCGGGACCCCCAGTCCCGAGGGAGAGGAGCAGGCAGGTGCACTGCAGTGCCCGGGAGCAGGTGCTCATGGTCCATCTTTGGGGCTCTGGAACCAGTGTGGCCACAAGTCACAGGGCCTGCCCTGGCCACTTTGCCTGCCTGGCAGCTCCCTGTCCTGCTGCCTCGGGGGAGGGCGCTCCGGCCCCGTCTGCCCCCAGAGCATCCCCGCCTGCGGTGCCAGAGCGCCCCTCCAGAGGCCCTGACCCGCTGTGTCACCAAGGCCGATGGCGTCACTCCCGAGGGGCAGGGCAGACAGCTCGGCCCCAGAGCTGGACGACGAGGCGCCCACGTCGGGGCAGCAAGGTGGGGGAGGGAGGAAGGAGTCTAGTGGGCATCTGACCACGGTGGGGGGGGGCACGAGGCCTGCTGTGCAGCAGGACCCCGAGACTCAGGGCCCAAGCAGAGTCTAGGGCTGGGGGGGCTGTGCCGGGCCCCTTCCACCCGGGCAGGCCTAGTTGGGCTCCTGACCCTGCAGGAGACTGAGGCACCAGCTGCACGGGTGGGGCCATGTGACAGGTGGGGGTGGGCAGGGGCTTGGTCATCTCCAGGATCCAGAACGTAAGCCAAGCAGGACAGTCCAGGTCTCAGCCCCACTCCCACGCCTAGTGGGAGCTGCAGAAGCGCGGTCCCCAGCCCCACGGGACAGCAGGCGGCAGGCGGTCAGCCTGGAGGAGCAGGTCCAGTAGGAAGACATGGGCTCCCCTCCCACCTCCCCGGGGCCTTAGGAGCGCGGCAGGGCGTCTCTGGGGGATCTCCGTGCACCCCTGCGTTGGGGTGCCAGCGCTTGGACCTGTGAGCTCTGAACAGGACGCGGCCAGGCCTGGGCTGGGGTGACCAGCACCGGGGTGTGGGAGGGCATGGGCCCCGCCGCCCTCCCTCCTGCACCTGAGCTCCATCCAGGCATCATGGGCGGGATGCAGGGGTGGGGGCCGCATCAGGAACTCCCGGCAGAGACGTGGTCCCGGGATGCCAGCTGGACCAGATGGGGGGACCCCAGTGGGGCTCTCGGGTGGAGGGACGAGGACACAGGCCAGGTCCGTCTGGGGGGCCGCCTCTCTGCCCACTCAGTCCTTTCCTTCCATGGATTCCTGGAGCCTCCAGGCCTTCGGGCAGCTCCCCGGGGCACAGGCTGCAATGCCCCCTGAGGGCTCTCCCGCCGTGGGGCAGGCTGTGGGGCTGCGGCTGGGCCAGGACGTGGGCTCATGGCCCCAGGACCCCAGACAGGGAGGCGGGACCCCAGGCCCAGGTGGAGAGGTGAGGTGGACACTGACCCCCCAGCCTCCCCACAGGCTCAATCGGCTGGGCTTTGGGTTGAGCCCGGCAATCTGGGTGCGAGTGCAGGGCAGGGACGCCCACATGCGGGCTCCACCTACCAGCACTGGGACTGTCACCGCCCACAGCCCCACCCGGGTCCCAGCCCAAGCCCAGGGTGGGGAGTCCATGCAGCAAACGGGTGGGGGGCCCGGACGCAGCCGTGGGGTCCGACCCCAGAGTGCTGCTCTCTTGCCACCCCCCCGGGGGGATCGAGGGGCTTGATGAATCACACCCCCTGCCCCCCGACTGCAGGCCCTCCCGTTCTCCAGCCGCCCCCCCCCAGCGCATTTATGTCCCACTTACCTCCTGCAGCACAATTTGGAGGTGGATGTAAAGAAAATTCTGATCTTTTAAAATAGATTTCACAGAGGAGGTGGAGGAAGAGAAAGGGAAAGATGCGTTCATCCAGCGATCGCTTTTAAAATCGGCCAGCGGGGATCCCTGGGTGGCGCAGCCGTTTGGCGCCTGCCTTTGGACTCAGGGCGCGATCCTGGAGACCCGGGATCGAATCCCACGTCGGGCTCCCAGTGCATGGAGCCTGCTTCTCCCTCTGCCTGTGTCTCTGCCTCTCTCTCTCTCTGTGTGTGACTATCATTAATAAATAAAAAAAAAATTTAAAAAAAATCAGCCAGCGGAGCCTGGGGTGCAGGGGAGGCCGCGGGGCCCCACCTTCCATCCAGCCCGGGTGGTCCTTTCTCCCAAGCCTGCACACTGGACTCGCTGGACTCGCACTCGTGGCTCGGTGTGTGTGGCGGGAGGTGCTGAGCAGGAGGGAGGCTCAGCCCCCAGCGGGTGTCCTCCCGGGGCTGGGCCTGCAGGTGCAGGTGGGCGTGGCCGGGGCTGACCCCGACGGCTGACCCTGACGGCTGGCGGGGGGGGGGGCTTGGTGCTCGTCAGGGCACGGCCCCCCAGAACCTCCTGAGGGTCGCGCCCCGTTTGCAGGCCCCATGCGTGCAGACCCTAGCTTACAGGGGTGCGGCCTCCGGGCAGGTCAGGCCGGCGGGGCTCCTTGTGCAGAGTCACTTCCCGGGGCCGTCCCGCCCGCCGTGGTCCCTGCCCCTCAAGGACCAGCCCCCGGGAGGGAGCTTCTGGCCTCCCCGAGGAGGCGCTCCTTTCACCGGGCTGCCGTGCCACCGGGAGGTCCAACGGCCAGCGCCCCCCTCCCGTCCAGCAACGAGGCGTTGTTCAGCGTCTGGCATGCTTGGCGCACCAGGGACAGGCGCCTTCGTCAAGACTTGCTCAAAGAAACAGGATGACTGACTGGCTTATAGGATTGGAAAATGTAAGGGGCTTCAGGCACAGCTGGATCCAGGAGGCTAGGGGACGTTATCACGGCCACTTTTGTTTCCCCTCTCTGCCTTTCCCTGTGCTCGGCTGGCCTGTGTGGCTTCGTTCTCAGGCAGGCTGTGTCTCCAGGCCTTGAAAGCTCCACGCACACAGCAAGTCTCTCTTTTCACTATAATCCTAAATCTCCCACAGGCCTGAGTGGTAGCCCATGCCACGTGCCTGTGCCTGTCCCCGGGCTGGTCAGGGGCTCGGCGGCTGGGCGGTGCTCCCTGGGTGGCCCAGGTCACGGGTCCACTGCCGCATTCATAGTCCCTCCAGGATCGCTGGTCGGGGGAGAGGGTGATTTTCAGAGGAGCTTCAGGAGGGAGGGGTGGGCACGCAGACCCCACCACGCCCACTACATGTGGCCTTTCCGGGGTGGCCAGCGGGTCTCCACGGAGAAGTGTCTAGGAGGGTAAAGCCCGGATAGGGAAGCCTGCAGCTCCCCCTGCCAGCCTCGTCCTCCGGAGCCCGCGCCCCGCTGCCTGTGCCTGCCCCCCGGAAGGCCCCAGCAGGCCTCGAGGGGCGCGTCCCTCTTGTCAGCCTCGGTCGCAGGAGGGGACTTGCTGAGAGCGGTGACCGGAGGGACCACGCAGAGTCAGGCCTGTGCAGACGCGGGCTTGGCGGCACTTCGGGTTCTTCCTCCAAGAGGCCCTGAGGGTCGCCCTCTGAGGAGCTCTGCGCGTCCTTACGTGCACTTTCCTTTTATCGAGTGAGAAAGACGGCGACACAAGCTGCTCCCGGCTTTAGCTCCAAGCGGCAGGGATGACAGCGGGAGGCTGTCGTGGAAGGCGACCGAGGTTTGGAGACACGGCGCGGCGGCGGGTGGCGCGGAGCCGGGGGTCGGTGGCGGGGGGGGGGGGGGGAGTCCCGGCCTCGGGAGCCGCGGTGCGTCCGTGGGCAAGCGGCCACCGCTCTCGGGCCCCGCGTGAGCTGCTGCAGCGATGCTCGCCGCGACCCCTCTGCACGTGCTGTGGGGTTGGGCGCCGGAGGTCCCCGCAGGTCCCTCCAGCCTGGGTCCTGAGGGTCCTGAGCTCTGGCACAAGAAGACCAGATGAGACCCGGGCATCGAATAGGACACACAGCCCAGGGTCACCCCCGAGAGCCAGCCTCCGCCTTCCAGATGCCAGTCTGGGGGCAGAGAAGGGGGAGTGCCTCCCAAGCAGGTGGAAGAGGCCAGGTGGGCAGAGAGCATGGGGAGGCCCTGGTGCCTGCCTCGAGGGGCCGGAGGGAAGGGGGGGCAGCAGACGCGCGGGTCCTTTATGGAGCTTGACCTGAGCTTGACCGTGAGGACGGGCAGAGGGGCCGCAGCCCCGGGGGCAGGCCCGAGGGGGCACTGAGAACGGGGACACCCGGCAGCCTGTGCAAGGGCAGAGGACGCTGGAAATGCAGGTGTGGGGCTGTGGCTCCATGGGGGAGATTCGCCGGGGCCGGGTCCTCTTCCGCTCCCGGGGGACGTGGGGCGGGGGCATTGGGTCCTGATTGTCTTGGTGGAGTGGGGCTCAAGGTTGTGGCTCCCGGAGGGAGGCGAGGAGGACTCCTGAGCCCTGCGGGGGGCTCGGGCCTGGAGGGTCCATGGGTCTGTGGTTTAGGGAATCCCTGCATCGTGCTCGGCAGTGGGCACCGTGGGGGTGACCAGGGACGGGGATGGGGATAAAGGGGGCGACCTGCCGTTGTGCAGCCTGTCCCTGTGCGCTCGGCCCCTGGCAATGGGATTTGAGGCTGAGGACCCGGAAGGGGCCCCTGGGGCTGGGGGGGGTCTTCACGACCCAGGCTCCCTGTCGAGCCTGACGCACGCTCACTTCTGGGCGCTCCGGAACACGCCTCCGGCTCCGAGGCCTCCGCAGAGTCAAAGCTGACTTCTCCGGGTCGGGGTCGGGAGACGAGTTAGCAAGCCCGACTCTGCCCAAGCGCGTGTCAGCCAGCGTCTCCAAAACCGTGTCTCCCTCCGGAAACAGGGGTGGCTTGCTCCCGGGGCGGGGGGGCGGCCCGGGCTGGTGACGTTCCGCGTTGCACGTCCTGGATGGGGTCCATCGTCCACAGGCCCCAGGACCCCAGGCTGGAATAAAGAAGAAACTAGATTTCCTTGGCCTTTGGGAGGTTACGCTCAGTAACCAGCCTGAGGCAGTAAGAGAAGCTGCCCTGGCGGGAGCCGCTGCACCAAAAGACACCCCAGCTTGGATGGAGGCGCCGAGACGGGGCGCTTGGTCGGAGACCTGGACCCTAACCCCTGGAGGTGACCTCGCCCTGCCTCCCTTCGGGTGAGGGGGACGCCTGTGCCTTGCCCGCTGATGACAAGTCCCCGCTGCCCTGGGCGGTTCCCCCGGCGCTTCGGGTCCCTGCAAGCCCCGGCCGCCCTCGGGGACGTCCGTTCCCGCCCTGCGGGTGCTAACTCTGCCTGGATCTGCCCCCCGGGCCCCTAGGGGACCCAGCTGGGAACCAGCACGCCAGGCGCGGGGCTCTGCGGGTCCGTCTGGCATCCCCGCCCCTGAGAGGCTCAGAGAGGAGGGTGACACTGAGCCGGTCACAGCCTCGGGCTGCAGAGTGGGTTAACGGGCCCCCCACCCGATGACAGGTCCCTGTCACGGTCCCCGCTGACCGGGCATGTGGCTTTCTGTGATATTTGCGGGCGTAACTGGGGCTCTCGGTGTGGTCGTCCTGGGTCAGGGTGGCTCTAAATCCAATGCCCGGTGTCCTCATGAGATCGGAGTCGCAGACCCGTGATGGAGGCAGAGGCGGGAGGGCTGCGTCACAGCCCAGGGAACAGCCCCAGAGGCCAGAAGAGGCAGGACAGACCCTCCCTGAGCCCCCGGGGGGGGCACAGCCCCTGCCGGCACCTGCGCGCTGGCTTCTGGCCCCCAGACCTGTTATTTCCTCCAGCCCAGTGGTGACGGCTTGTTACGGCCGCCCCCGGACATGCATACAGCCCGCGGGACACTTCAGCTCTGGCCCTCGGGGCCTCGTGGCTGCCACAGGGACGGCCCTGCCACAGGGCTTCGAGGGCTCAGGAACAGAACCTTCCGGCAGCATCGTTGACGGCAGAGGTGGGATCAGGCCTGGGCCTCACGGCTGTTTCCTGATAGACACCCCTGATCCCGAAACTGGGTCTGTGGGTGGCTCCCTGGACCCCAGGGCTGGCCCTGCCTGGTCCTGCTCCCCTGTTTGCAGGGGTCCCTGCTGGGTTCGAGCTGAGAGCCCCAGATTCTCTCTGACCCGGAGCAGGACACAGAGCCCCAACCCCACCCCCAACCTGGACCTGGATCTCGGGCATGGGTGGCTGTCAGGGGGTCCCCGGGGCAGTTCCAGCCACGACACAGTGGAGCCTGGGGGGCAGAGGATGCTGGGCTGGTCAGAGCTCCCCCTGCACGTGCTTCATCAGACCCACCTGCACCTGCACCTGCACCTGCACCTGCCCCAGCCGCTGCCCAGGCCCAGGCCCAGGCCCAGTGAGTCCTCAGGCGCCGCGGGTGGGGCCGAGCATCCTCCATGCGCTGGAGGCCACAGCGAAGGCCCTGAGCTTGCACACAGACCTGGGAGCCCCCAGCCGGGGCGGGAATGCAGTGACACCAGGCGCCTCTATGTGCCGGAAGGAAAAGCACATAGGTCAAGGTGACCTGGGTCTCCGCCAGGTGACGCAAGCCGTTCCAGGCCAGAGGCTCGCAGCCAGGAGCAGCTGTGATGGGCCCCCCCGTCCTTGGGGTCCCCGGGCTCCCCAGGGTGGGGTGGGGACTCCTCTGGCCGGGCTGATGGCTCTGGGGCCCCTCAGCCTCCTTAGGGGCTTCCTGGTGCTGAGGTCAGGCTGTGGGCAGGGAACGTAAAGCCCCCGCCCCCGCGGGGAGGACAGTCCCTGCGGCTCAGGGACCCCGAGCCCCCGGCCAAGGCCCCAGAGCAGGTGGCGCCCAGCGCTCGGCCCCACCCACACCCCCATGCACAGGCCGGGGCTGTTCCCAACCCCACTCGGGCTGCCCCAGTCCTGGGCCAGGGCACCTCCCCGTCCCTGTGCCCCACAGGCCCTGCTCCCGGCCACGTGGCTCTGGGCGGTCCCCACACCCAGGGTGACCCCGTGGGCTCCCTCAACCCAGTGGCGTCCGTCCAGAGCGCTGGGGTCAGGGGCCTCGTCTCACTCGTCTCTGTGGGTCCCGCCCTGGGACCCGGGGCCTCCACGGGGCACGCTGCATGCCCAGGATGGGGGGGCCCCGCGGTGCCCTGGGTGGGCTGGGCATGCAGATGCCGCGTCTTGTTACGGCTTTTACGGATGTTCCGAGGGTGTCTGCAGCGTCCGCGGGGCCCAGGCCCTTCTGAGCGAGGCCGAGTGGCCGCGGGGGTGGCCTGCCATGGGGCCAGCTTTGGGTGGTGCCTTCCGCCTCGCGCTGGAGGCCAGGTTTGGGGGCGCACCACCTCCCCACCCTGACCTCGCCTCGGCAGCTCCCAGCCCAGCCTTGGAACGTTCTCGTCTCCCAGGCTTTGCGAACAGCAGTGCCGTTGTGGTGCCCGTCCGGGTCAGTGACTCACCCAAGTGTTGTCAGCTGCTAATTACAATTAAATCTCTGATGAGCTTTTTCTTATCTTCCTAATTAAATAATTATGATTAATGGAGAGGACGGCACCTAACTCTGACACGTCTCGGGGAGAGTTCTGTGCGGCTGAGGCCCCGCTCGGGGTGGGAGGCCGCCGCGGAGGCTCCGGGCCGCGCGGCTCGCAGCAGGGCTGACCTGCCACCCTGGGGGGCTGCGGGGGCTGGAGGGCCCGAGGACGGAGCCGCCGCCTCTTCTCGGTTGGCTGCAGCCCCCGCAGGAAGCCTGGCCCGGGCGCGGGGAAGTGTGCGCGGGAGGCAGCCCCGGGGCACGACCCCGCCCGCCCGGCGGCTCCTGGGTGCCCTCCTGGGTGCTCTCCCTGCGGGCTAGGAGGTGGGGGCTGGGTCACCGGGTGCTGAGTCAGGCCACCCACTCCGCCCCGGACCCGGATGCTCTGGAGGGAGGGAGGCAGGAGGTCTAGCTGGACGCCCCTCGGCCGCGCTGCCTTCTGAGTCAGGCAGCGGGGAGCTCTGGGGCCGCGTGGAAAGGGACCTGAGAGCAGAGGCCCCTGCAGGGGTGTGACCGGCGGGGCCGTTCTCACATCTCGGTGTGACCCGGGACAGCTGCGCGTGAGTCATGGTCCCGGCCGGCCCCCCTCTCCCCGCGGCTGAGGGTCACGCCCGCCTCTTCCCAGGCCCACCCTGGAGGCGGCCTGGCGCTGCTGGTCTCTCTGCGGCCTGGCGTCCCTGACGGGACCTGCTGCGCCGTCCGCCGCTGTGACCCGCGCACACCTCGGGAGCCACCCGAGCTGGGGCCCTTCTCCTGCCCCTCCCTGCCGTGGGGGCCCATTGGCCTCCCCTGCACCCGCGGCCTCCTGCACCCCAATCTTCCTCCTTCTGTGGCTCCTCGCTTCCTCGGAAGGCCCCGCATGCAGAGACGGGGTGGGGGTGTCCAGGCCTGCGCGTGCTCCATCTCTACAGGTTGTCTACCCAGCATCCTCATCAGAGTTTCACCCCCAAATCGGTCATGCTTGGGGGGTCCCTGGGGGTGGAGGGTGAAGGGGCATCACCTGACCGGGCTGCCCTGGGGAGGAGCGTGATTGACAGGGGTGCCCAGTGGCCCCCACAGCTGCTGTGGGGGCAGGTCCCCAGGGGCTGCTGGGCCAGGACCCCAGCCAGACGGGCTGCCCAGCCCCTTCCACTGTCCAGCGAGGACCCCCACCCCGCAGGTCAGCCGGTGCACCGGGGCCGCGGGCTGCAGTGCTAGAACCTTCCCAGAGCCCCTGGAGGCTCTTCAGGAACTGCCTCCGGAGAAAACCTGCTCCGCCCGCGGGTCTGCAGACGGGGCGGGGGGCCCGGGAGGGGCAGCCGGGCAGCTGGTGAGGGGCCGAGGGAAACAAGAGCCCTCTTCTCCTCCCGGGCCGCCCCGCTTGGCTCCGGCTCAACTCACAGGCCAAATGCGAGACAGTAAATGCATTCAGTGGGGGACAAACGGCCCCAGCCCCCGCGCGGAGGTCGGGGGGCCGGGAGGGGCGGGGCCGGGGGTCCTGGGAAGGCCCCCCCGGGTGGAGCCGCGGGAGAGACCCCGGGCCAGGTCAGCGGAGCCAGGCGGGGAGGGGTCCTCCCGGGATCGGGGCAGCGGGGCTCCGCGGAGGGTCCTCCCTGCAGACCCCGCCACCGCGTCAGAAAGGGTGCTGTGACCGCGAGCAGCCCCCGAGCACCGTCCAGGGGGCGGTGGGCCTGGGGACAGCCCCTCAGATGGCCCGGGACGGCCCCTCCCCGTGGGCCGGCAGCTCCAAGACGCCAGAGAACGGGTGGTGGACACGACCCTCCCTGGGCTGAGCAGCGGGAGCCAGAGCCGAGGAGGATGTGGCCGTGCCAGGGGGCGGGGAGCCGCGGTGGCCCCTCGGCCAGGACCCCAGGCAGCAGCAGGCCCGTGTTGGGGCGTCGTTCCTGCGGACACATCGGGAGATGAGCTCTGTGGGCCCGGAAGGCAGCCTCCAGGGGACCTGCCGATGCTAGGAGGTGGCCTGGGGACCCTGTCGTCTGGGAGGCCGGTGAGGCCCTGCCCGGACGCAGGCCTGCAGATGCCGAGAGGTGGTCAGCAGGCGCCATGGAAGCCACCGCGGTGTGACATGTTACGGAGCACAGACACCGGGCACGTGTGGCCTCCAGGCAGACACGTGCAGAGCCTGCTGAGCTCGCGGGCTGGTCACCTGGGCAGCTCGTTCCCGGGCCGGTGACGAGGACGCACGGGCAACGCGGGGGCAGCTCAGCAGCTCGCTGGGTGTGTGGGGACAGGGAACGGGCTCCTTAGTGTCACTGCGCGCCGCTGCGGAAAGTGGGCCCACGGCCTCCCGTCCCCGGGGAAGGGGGGCTGGGGTCCCGCAGAGAAGGTGGCCGGCCTGTGAGCCGTGAGCCTGTGTCCCGGGCAGGACGGTGGCCGCGCTGGCGGGCAGGCCCTGTCCCAGTCTGCTCCGGCCCCACAGCCGACCCCGCTGCGGGGACAAACAGCAGGCCACCCTGGCCCCAGCCGAGCCCGGGGACCGTTCCAGCTGGGACAGGACCCTGGCCGAGCCCCCGGCCCCATCTGCTCCAGGGGAGCGAGCGGCCGCAGGGGCGGGAGGGGCCCAGGGAGGGCTCAGGTTCGGGCTCCGGGGCAGCTGGGGGAGGTCGTGGCCCGGCTCCCGGGGACACAGGTGGGCAGCGGGAGCGGAGGGGCCGCGGGGAACCGGCAGGGCCCTGGCCTGGGGGCCGCACGCACTGGCTTCTCGTCGTAGCTCCTGGGACGGCTGTAGGCGGCCCCCTCGGGGGGAGGACGGGGCTGGAGGCGGGATCGGGGCCCTGGAGCTCGGGGTCCTGAGGCCGTGGCTGCCGGGGCCTGTTTCCAGGCGGGGGAGACAGGGGGGCCGGGGCTGGCCACCAGCATGACCCCCACCCCCTGAGCACCCAGCCCAGTGTCCACCTTGGGGCACCGTCCGGCCTCGAAAAGCCCAGAGGTGTAGGTTGGGGCGGCGTACGGAAGCCGCGTCCTCACATGCCGAGGGGACGGAGGGTCTGCCGAGGGCGGCGCAGCACGGCCTGCCCAGCACGGCCCACCCCGGCCAGCAGCCTGCGCAGGCAGAGCTGGGGACACCGGGCTGCCACCGGGTGGCCGGGCTGGCGGCGGGCCCACGCGGCGGCTCCGCGCCCTCCTTGCAGCCCCTGTTTGTCTTGGCTTCTGGAGCCCCGGGCCCCGTTTGTCGCCTCTCCAGCACGGTGGCTGCGCTCCCCAGGTAGGGTCCCCGTTGACGTGGATTTCTTCTGGAATCTGTAAACACACATCTGCCTCCGGTGCCAAGTAAGTGAAACCACATGGGATGGTTTGAAGCTTCTAGAAGCTTTTACACTGTAATAAAAACAGACGAGCTAAGCCCCCAGAGAGCAGCAGGCACAGAGCTGGGCCTAATTAGCCCCCGGCAGGAAGACGCGGAGCCACAGTGGGGTCAGGGGACGGGCCTGGGGAGCGGGCCCTCAGGGGGGAGGTCGCGGGGAGCCAGAAATACCCTTTCCTCAGTGGCCAGCTTCCAGGCCGCCGCCTCCAGGCAGCTCACCGGGCTCTTCCCGCCCCACAGCCCGCATCACCGCCAGGCTTGTGCACCCGGAGCCGCTCATGCGGGTCTCCCCGGGGAAAGCGCAGGCAGGGGCCTCCCCCCGACTGGCCTCGGGCACGACAGGGCCTGGTGGACCAGTGGCTCAGTCTGGGGCCCCCGGGGGTGAGGCAGGCCTGGGGTGTCCTGGGGCCACAGGACGGGGGCTCTGTGCAGGCCGGCGGCCGCCCCCGCTGGGGAGACCGGCCCAGCCACACCGTCAGCCCCGAGTCTGGGTCTGGTGCCTCCCGGGCCGCGGCCCCGCCGTCCGGTGTCCAGGGGCGCACGCGTGGGCGCTGGGCAGGCCGCGGGCTGGGGCTTCGTTCCACAGACCGGGGTCTGCCTCTGACAGACAGGGGCGGCCCCCTGCGCCCCGGTCCCTGCCCCAGTGCTCAGCCTGGGCCCGAGCACGGGCCGCCGTGGCCCTGAGACCTACAGATGTGCTGTCCCATGGGTGGATGTGGACACCCTGGCAGCGCTCAGCTGGGCCTGCCCCGCGGGGAGTGCGGGTGGCCAGGGTCCCTCCAGCCCTGGGCCCGGCTTCTCCCCGAAGCCCTCCAGCATGGGGGGCCTGCTGTGGTGCCGGGAGGGGCCTCGGGGCCGTCTGCGCACGCCCGGGCGGGGGGGGGCAGCTCCCCCAGACTCTAGGGCTGCCTCCCTCCTCCGGCTTCTGCCCTCTGCTCGCCAGAGCAGGACTGGCTCATGGCCAGGGCTCCGGGGACCCCACTGGGCGGGGGGAGGTCATGTGGGGCTCCTGGGCCCAAGGGACCAACCCACTGTCCCCCAGCTCTGTCCCCCCTCTCTCCCTCCCCTGCCTCCTTCCCCTCCCCCTCCTCCCCTCCTCCTTCTCTCTCCCCCTCCCTCCTTCTCTCTCTCCCTCCTTCCTTCTCCTTCCTCTCTCCTCCTTCCCCCCTCTCCTTCCCCCCTCCTTCCCCCCTTCCCTCCCTGCCTCCCTCTCTCCCCCCCTCCCCCTCTCTCTCCCTCCCTCTCTCTTTCCCTTCCTCTTCCCTCTCTCCCCCTCTCCCTCCCTCTCTCCCCCTCTCCCTCCCTGTCCCCTCCTCTCTAGCTGCCCCAGTGGCCTATGTAGTGAGCTGTCCTCACCACCCCTGTCCCCACCCTGGCTGCCCCCACGTCAGGGTGGCCTCTGCTCCCCAGCAGACAAGTCTGGCCATGGTCTGGTTCTTTCCGCTGGCCAAGGGTGGTGCAGGGCAAAGTGCCAGGGCCACAACAGGCCGGCCCCAGCTCCCTCCCCTCTTGGTCTCTGTCCAGCTTTGCAAAGAATAGGGCGGAAGTTCACATAGCCAGTGTTCAGTGGCATCATCAGTGCCCTGGGCCCTAAGGATGCAGCCGTAAGGGCGGTCGTCCTCGCCCTGGAGGGGTAGGCAGAGGGTTTGTGGCTTTGCACCCAGCCCCTCTGAGGAGGCAGGAGGTCAGGGCCCATTGTGGCCGAGGGACATGGGCAGAAGTGATCCGTGTCTACAGCGTGTGTGACGGGGCCTGGCCTGGGTCTGTTTGTGCAGCAGCCACGGGCCGCGGGTTGAGGTGGAAGGACCTTCACGAACCCGGGTTCCAGGGCGGAGCAAAATAGCCCATAGCACTGTCCCCACCAAGGCTTGTAACCTGTGCAAGAAATACATCTTTTTTAATCCCCTGGATGGAGGGGTGGTTCAAAAGTCTCAAAACAATCAATGAGAAACGTCATCACAACAATAAGAGAAAGGATAGAAACCATATGATCATTTACTCAGATGCAGACAAAGCATTTGACAAAGTACAACATCCATTCATGATAAAACCCTCGACAAAGTAGGTCTAGAGGGAACCTGCCTCAACATAGTAAAGGCCGTGTCGGCAAAACCTACAGGGAACCTCGTACTCACTGGGGAAAATGGGGAGCTTTGCCCCCAAGATCAGGAACAAGACAAGGATGTCTTCTCTCACCATTTTTATTCAACATAGTACTGGAAGTCCTAGCCACAGCGATGCTTTTTTAATTAAAAAACCTGAAAGTTATTTATTTATTTTAAAATTACTATTATTGGGGGATCCCTGGGTGGCTCAGTGGTTTAGCACCTGCCTTCAGCCCAGGGCGTGATCCTGGAGTCCCAGGATCGAGTCCCATATCAGGCTCCCTGCATGGAGCCTGCTTCTCCCTCTGCCTGTGTCTCTACCTCTCTCTCTCCCTCTCTCTCTATGTCTATCATAAATCAATAAATAAATCTTTAAAAAATATTATTATTATTTGTTAGAGAGAGAGAAGTGGAGGCAAGCAGAGTGAGAGGGACAGAGAGAACCCCAGGGGACTCCACACCGAGCACGGAGCCCGACATGGGACTTGATCTCACGACCCTGAGATCATGATCTGACCCGAAATCAAGAGTCAGAAGCTCAGCCTACTGAGCAACCCAGGTGCCCCTGAATGTTATTTATTTTAAATGTGTTCTTCCACACATTTGCCCTGGTTTAACCAGCTTGGCGTTTTACAGGACATGTTTGGTAATGACAGCATTGATTATAGTAACAAGATATTAAAAACAAGCCAAATTTTCAATGACACAGGAGTGAACAAATGGCAAATCCAGCCACTAGCATGCTGTGGAACCTTTTTAAATGACCAAAACAAGTCCAACAATGTAAGAGGTGATCTCGTTTTCACATAAAACCTTCTGACTCCAAGTGACATATCTGAAAATATCTGAACTATCTCTTGATGGCAGATCGATAGTAACTTTTACCTTCTTTGCACTGCTCAAAACATCCAAGTTTTCTATTAAACAGTATATATTCCTTTTAGAATCAGGGGAGAGAAAAACCCACTTCAGAAAAATAAGGAACGTGCTGGGACAACTGGATGTCCACCTGGGAGAGAGTGAAGCTCCCCAACGTCGGGCAGGAAATTTAAGTCACGACGAACCAAAGACTTAGGGCAAGAGCCGAAGCCACAGAACTCTTGGACAAAATATAGGAGTAGATCTTTGTGCCCTGGAGTTGGCAACAGTTTTTTACATAAGACACCAAAAGCACCGGAGGCAAAAGGAAAAAAATAGATACATTGGACTTCATCAAAATGAAAGACTTGTTCCGCAAATACCACCATCCAGGAAAGAAGAGACAACCCACAGATGGGAGGAACGTATTTTCAAATCACATATCTGAGAAAGGACTTGGGCCCAGGATACAGAAGCAACTCTCAGAACAACAAAAAGATGAATAAGCGAATTAAAAACTGGGCAAAGAATCAGAATAGACCTTTGCCAATGAAGATGCACAAATGACTAATAACCACATGAAGAGGTGCTCAACATCACTAGCCATTAAAGAAATGCAAATCCAAACCATGGCAGGTGCCACTTCCTGCCCAACAGCATGGCCACGAACAGACGGACAGTAACAAGTGTTGGCAGGGATGTGACCAAACTGGAACTCTCAGATACTGTTGATAAGGAGCTGAAATGTAGCTGCTTTGGAAAATTTGTAAGTTCTTCCAAATCTTAAACAAAGAGTTATCCTATGACCCAGCGTGTCTACGCCTAGGAACACCCCCCCCAATGTGGAAACATCTCCACAAATGTTTACGGCAGCGTTATTCATAATATCCAAGAGGTGGAAACAACCCAGTTGTTCACCAGAAAATGAATGAGTGAATAGAATGTGCATCAAACAGCGTGTATTATTGACAATAAAACGAGACTGAAGTACTGACACATCTTCACCGTGAATGAACCCTGAAAACCTGCTAAAGAAAGAAGATGGTCACAGCGAACCATATAGTGCATGATTTCTTTCATATGTAATGTCCCAAATAAGCAAACCCGTGGAGACGGAAGGTGCATTAGCAGGTGAAGCGTATAGTCTGTTGATTGTATCTCCATTGTTAGACAAAAATAAGACATAAAAGAACAGAGACACGGACGGGGAGGGAGGTGACACCCACCTGTGAGTCACTACTATGCTCCAGATACAAGCCACAGGTTTTACTCGTACTGGCTTATGTAGGCCTTGGCACACCTGTGGGAGTGGGCATGACAACCTCATTTTAACTCTCATCTCAGTGTCCAGAGAGGTAGGACCTCAAAACCCACAGTGGCTGAGCCCAGGAAGCCCAGCTCTGCCTGACGTCTCAGCCCACTTACCCCTGTTCACTACTTCCACACCTGCCCTGGTATCAGGACTGGGCGAGCGGTGATGTCAGAACCCAAGCTTAGTATGCACCATGTGCTCCTCCTGCCAGAGTCCCTGTAAGAGAACATCTCAGGGCTCCAGGCACAGTATGCTGGGACCATGGGCTCCAGAGAGAGAGCCCGACTGAGTCAGACCTGTGCCCCCCGGGGTCCCCGACATCACTGTGTAGTTTCCCAGGCACCACTACAGTCCCTCAAAGCCTTGAACCCAAGATGCTGCCTTGTGCTATGGCATGTGGCCTTGTTGCTCTCACCTGCATTCATTACTGACTACCTCCTCAGGGCTGGGACAGGGACAATCAGAGACAGCTTCAGTCCTCACAAATCCTACATCTGAGCAGGTCGGGGATAGGTGCTAAACACTTTTCACAGGATGTCCAGAGTGCTCTGGGAGAACAGGGGAAGGGTGATGAACTGCTTGGGAAGTCAGAGCAGGCTCCATCTGCCAATCTGTTTATCTACCTGTCCACTCATTTACTCATCTGTCCACCCATCTATCCAGGCATCCACTCACCCACCATCCATCCATCCATCCATGCAGGCATCCATCCATCCATCCACCCATGCATCCATCCATGCAGGCATCCACTCATCCATCCATTTACCCACCAAGCCACCATCCATCCATCCTTCACTCATCCATCCATCCATCCATCCACCCGCCCACCAACCCATCCATCCATCCATGCATACATCCATCTATCCACTCAGGCATCCATTCATGCATCATCCATCCATCCATCCATCCATTATCCATCTATCTACCCATCCATCCCTCCATCCAAATGTCCCTCCATCCATTATCCAAAACTGTTTATAGAGCTCCTTTCACCCTCACTGCTCTTGCTGGGGCTTCATCACAGAATAAGACACACTTTTTTAAAAAAATATGTTATTTATTTATTCATGAGAGACACAGAAGGAGAGGCAGAGACACAGGCAGAGGGAGAAGCAGGCTTTCTGAGGGGAGCCTGATGCAGGCTTCAATACCCAGATTGGGATCATGCCCTGAACTGAAGGCAGATGCCCAACCACTGAGTCGCCCAGGTGTACCAGATTAAGACAAATTAAATCAATTCTTTTCTAGATCTTACTGCCCAATGCATGTAACGTAAAGCAAACATGTAAAATAGTTTTACAGACAGAAAAGTGCCACAAGGAAAATAAAACAGAATAACAAGTGATAAAGTCTGGCAGCCAGTGATGGCGTCTCTGGGGAAGTGGTGTTTGAGCTGAGGTTCACATGAGGAGGAGCCATCCATGTGAAAGTCCGAGGGAGGGGAGGGTCCAGGCAGAAGAGCCAACACACATGGAGACTGAAGGCAGGAATGGACTTGGCTTGTTGGAGGGAAGGACAAAGGTCCGTGTGCCTGGGGCTCAGTGATTTTGAGCCTAGGGGATATTTGTACTGGGTATAAAAGAACGAGAGCTTGACAGGCAGAGAAGGGCTTGGGGACAGCATAAGTGAAACCAGGAGAAGTGAATGGAACTGGTGTTCGCCTAGTAGGACCAAGCACTTCTTTTAAAAAAAAAAAAGATTTATTTATTTATTTATTTATTTATTTATTTATTTATTTATTTATTTATGAGAGACAGAGAGAGAGAGAGAGAGAGAGAGAGAGGCAGAGACACAGGCAGAGGGAGAAACAGGGTCCATCCTGGCAGCCTGACGTGGGACTCGACCCTGGGACCCCAGGATCATGTCCTGGACCGAAGGTGGCCTTAAACTGCTGAGCCACCCGGCCTGCCCTGGACCAGGCACTTCTAAACGTTTTTTCACAGAGGGGAATAGATAGCCAGGAAATCCCTGGAGAAGAAGATGGAGGGGTGTAGTCTACCAGACGCAATATACGTTATAAAGCTCCTTGGATTAAACAATGTGGCAATAGCTCATTTATAGACAAATAGGACGTGGAATAGAGTAGAAAACCCAGAAATGGGTCCACAGCCTGTGAAATGTGGTCAACGTGGCTTCTCAAGTGAGTGAGGAGGTCGATGGCTTTGGGACACCTGGAGAGCCACACTGGACCTACTCCTCACAGGGATGCCTGCGTGTCCAAGAGGAAACCATGCAAGTGTTGGGAAAAGGCTGCATGACTCCTTTTACAACCAAAATCAGAGAAAAGCTTTGGTAACTATGACTCCAAAGCCGAAAGCAATCAAGCAAAGATGAATAAATTCGCCTACTTAAAATTAAAACATTTCTACGATGAACGACACCACGAGGAAGGTCAAAAGACACACAAAATATTTGCAGCCAACATCACAGATGCAGGGCTCAAGTCGCTAACACAGAAGAAGGTCCAGCGACCTGTAGGAAAACGGGCGGACGTTATCAGCAGTTTGGGGAGAAGAACAGGCACACGGGGCCGGGCGGCCACCTCCACCACGGGCGGGAAACGTGGAACAGAACGGCGCCCGTATTCCACGGCTCTCTCCCAGTGTGGCCTTCGGGGTGTCACAGCTTAGGGTGCTGGTGAGACCGTGGAGGAGGACCAGGTGGGGATGCAGCGTGTGCCCTCCTGGGGACCCACAAGGCCTGTGGAGCCCAGGCCATACGCACCTGGGCATCAACCACGCTGCAGGTGTGCCCAGGACACGCCGGGAGAACACACCCCGCACACGCCCCGGGGCCTTCGCTGTGGTTGTGCGGGCGGGAGCGGAGACCGAGCACTCCCAGACGCCCATCACAGGAGGTCGACTGACGGCGTTCTGGTCACGTCCACCTAAGCGGGGTGCGGCCGCGGGGGGCCCCAGGGACAGTGTGAGGGCCTGTGTGTGGTGACATTTGGACAGAGCAGGACAGTGTGTGCCGGGGAGGCTCCAGAAAGGGTTTTGTGGGTGTGCATGTGCTTCCTGTGTTTTTTTTTTCTAAGAGAACAGGTGCAGGGATAAAGCCCGACGGGATAGAAATGGCTCTTGGGGAGGGGGAGGGGCCCTGGGAGGAGGGGTGCGGGTGGGGGGCGGCTTCCGTGACCCCCGCACGCAGGCCCCTCTCTCAGGAGCCCTGTAAATGCTTTGCTAAATGAGATCACAGAGAAGGTGTCCCCCTGATGAAGTGCTGGAATCGAGGTGAGGTCCGGAGCCGACGACCAAGAAAGAATTCTTGAGACGTCTTTGGTGCAAAACGGTGGTTTTTTTTAAAGCACCGGGGACGGGACCGGGGGCGGGAAGAGCAGCTGCCCCCGGCCTGTGAGGGGAGGCCGACGATATCCCCGGGAGTCGGGAGGGGTTTGGGGGCAGCGTGCCCTGTAAGGGATTTTGGAAGCAAGGTCTCCAGCACCTTGAGGGGACCTGCTATTGTTGGGACAAGGTCACTTACTGCCGCCCAATAAAACCTGAGTCCGAAGACCCTTCAGATGTGTATCCGTGGGCCGCGTGCTCGGGGGATGATCCCCAACACGTGTCTTGGGGGTTTAGAGATAAAGGGAAATTTCTAGAGCAATTTTTATATGTTAAAGTAGACTCACAGGGTCCCGGGGGCGGGCTAAGGGGGCCCTTCGTCCTCAGCAAAGTACGAACATGGAGGCAGTTGAGTCCGAGGAGGAAGGTCCCCTGCCTGTTTCCGGGACTTGTCCCTGTGCCGCCCGGGCCGTGCCGTGTCCCCAGCCAGCCCTGTGTCCCCCCATCAGCTACGACTCTGAGTGACGGGCCCAGCTGCTGCTCAGAGCGGGGGCGAGAAATCTTCGAGTCGCCCCGAGAAAGCAGTATTCAGAGTGAGGCCTTTTAGTGGACTATGTTCTAAGGCCAAAAAGCATCTTAAAACGTTCTTCTAAGCAAAAAAGAATAACAGAAGGAGCAGAGTAAGATCTTATCTTCCCTGATGGGAAACGGCAAGAACATCACAAACCGCCCCCGCCCCCATTTACCTGAATCCGCTCCCAGGCCGGGCACAGACAACACAGGAGCTGGGACGGTCCTGGGGGTCACCCTGGCGACCCCGAAGCAGGCCGGGGGGAGGCAGGGGCCTCTGGAGGGTCCTGCTGGCTCTGTGGTCCTCCCCCGGGGGCTGCGGGCCTCTAGGTGGGTGGGTGAGCCAGGAGGCGGCTGGACGCTCGAGGGGGTCCAGGACGGGCAGGAAAGACCCCACGGGGCTTCCTGGCTCGGGCCTGGCTCAGGCTGGGGCCCCTCAGGCTTCTGGCCCCTCAGGCTGGTCCTCGCCGCCCGTCCCAGAGCCCAACCTGGTCTAGACAACGGGGAGCACCCGCGGGGCACCTGCAGGGGACGGGGGAGGGCTGGGGGGGGGAGGGAAGGAAGCAGCTGATGCTCTCGGTGGGTCAATGCTGAGCCTCCACGGACGCCCATTTTCCAGAGGTGGAAACAGGATGGGGCCTGGGCACTCGGCCGAGGCTGCCAAACCAGTGAGCCCGTGGTGGGGGGCACCTGAGCCAGGCCGGGGGGCGCAGAGGGTGTGCAGACCCTGCTCACAAGCCTCCCCGTCAGGCCTGGGGGCCAGCTGCCCTGGCCCCCCGCAGGCCAGCTCCCCGCAAACCGCAGATGCTGCCCGAAGCTCAGCTCGCGGCGGCGGAAATGATGACAGGTGCCACGGCCTCCAGGCCGCCTGTCACTGACACCAGCTGCCGCCCGTCAGCAGCCCGCGCAGGGCCCCCGCTCCAGGCCAGCCCCCCGCCCCGCCGGGCCCCTTCCCGGTGGTCGGGCTCCCCCCGCCAGCCAGGGCAGCTGCTGTGGCCCCGGGGTCTGGCTGGACGGGAGCCCGCTGGGAGTGAGGTGAATCACCCCGAGAGCTGGGTCGCAGGTGCCGGGGGGGGGGGGCCCGGGAAGGGAAATAGCTCCGGCTCCTTGGATGTCACAGGCTTCCTGGAGGAGGCGTCTGAGGAATGGGCGGGCGGGGCCGGGGGCAGCACAGGGGCCCACGGGGGTCGACTGGGGTGTGAGGCCCACCCGGGCCGCTGGCGGGAGGTCGGGGCGAGGCTGGACGGGAGACCCAGCAGGTCGTTCTGGGACACCTCGTGGAAGGCCCAGGAGCCTGGGCTGCAGCAGCTCAGGTGGGGGGCGGGTTCCGAAGGTTCTGGGTGCGAACGGCCCTCGGGGAGCTCGGGAGTGGGACTGGGCCAAGCAGGGGTGAGACGGGGCCTCTCCCCCGGCCTTGCCTGGCCCGAGAACGTGGGTCCCGTCGCTAACCTCTAGCTGATTCGGGGCGTCCTTCCCTTCTGAGCGAGGCCCCGGGAGGCCCAATGAGGCCGTGGGCCCTGCTGTCCCCCAGCGGGTGGGCCCGACCTGGGCCTGCTGCCGGGGCTCCTCCCCCGGGACACGTTACCAGAGACGCCGTGGTCCCCGCCGTGCAAATTGAGCTTCTGAACTCTTGGTGACAACCGCAGCGCCCGTGTTCCCTTTGCCATCCCTGCGCCCTACACCCCGGCTGCCGTGGGGCCTGCTGCGGGAGGAGGCTCGGCAGCCCCGGGCCGCGGGGTCACGCAGCCCCTCACGCGGGGTCGGGACGCTCCCTGGGGGCCGGCGCTGGCAGCAGCCGCCGCTTGTAGCTGGTTGAGGGCGGCCACGGCTGGGCCAGGCGGGCGCGGTGACCCGGTCAGGGGCCGCCCTGCGCTCGCGGGCCGGGGCGAGGACCGCGAGGGAACGGCCCTTGACCGGGCCGGGGGTCCAGGGCCGGGGTGCTGTCTGAGCCCAGGCTGACTCGCCACCAGCCCCCCCAGGCCTGGTCACCGGAACCAGCCGTGAGGGGCACGGCAGGGCCTGAGGGTGGCGGCTGGAGCCACAGGCCGGGCCCGGGGCGGAAGGGGCGATGCTGCGGGGTGTCCGCGGCCTTCCTGCTGCTGCCGGCCCCTGCGGCCCGTGTGTCTCCCCAGCCCCCTGCCCCCCGGCGGTCTTGTCTGTGCTGTGGCTGGAGGGGGGACCCCTGGTGGCCTCACGGGTCGCAGAGACCCCGGCCCTGGAGCTCCTGGGTGCCACGGGGCCGCCGGAGGCCCTCGAGTGCCAGAGAACTCAGAAGCCTTTTGTGTTCAGGGGTGACGCCCAGCACGACCCCCGCTGGCTGGGGGACTTGGCTTCTGTTTCCGGGACGTGAGGGACGTGCCAGCATGAGGGTCTCGACCCACCTGCTCAGAGGCCGGGTCCTGTGGGTCCCCACCCGGGGTGCACCTCCAGCATCCCCCCACCGGGCCCCGAGGGCTCAGCACTGCAGGTGTCCGTGTGTCCTGCAAAAGAGGGGGCAGTCGGAGCCGCGGGTGCCCGTCTGCATCGGGAGCTGACCCGGTGGCTGCTTACTCGCCTCTGCCACGGGGTCGAAGTGTGGGACAGGTTCAGGGCGTCCTGGGTGAGTCCCGGCTGGGCCTCTTCTGGGCTGCAGGACGTGGGCAGGACATTTCACCCCCCTGGGGGCAGCTCCCTCTCCGGGTCCCATGAGGGTGTGTCCTGAGCCCCACCAGGCAGGTTGCTAAGTGAGAGCACTGCACAAATCGTGGGCGCCAGACCCGCACACAGAGCGCCTGATTCAGGGGGCCCCTGTCTTGCTGCGCTCGGGCCAGGGGACCCGGGAGCCGTCGTCAGGAGCCACCCCGAGTCCCAGGGACACAGAGTGCCCACTGGGCGAGTGCCCACAGGCGGCCTGAGGGCAGGGGGACGGCCCGCGGTGCCAGCACGCCTTCCACCCGCCACGGAAACAGAGGTCTTCTTTCTCCGCTCGTCCGGCCCTGGGACCACTGCGTCCCCCCCAGGGGCGCCCCCTGCAAGCCGGGGCTCTGCCATGGGCGCGGCCGGTGGGCAGGGCAGGCGGCTGGGCCTTCCGTGGGCTGCAGCCACAGGTGGCTGGGGCGCCCCACGTGCTGCCTGGAGCTTGAGCGCCCTCTGCTGCTGCCGCGGGCGGAGGGGCGCCCCAAGTGTCCTGGGATCCCCCCCAGGAAGGCCTTGAGAACCTGGGCGTCTCGGTCAGAAACTGAGGGGTGCCGGCCACTGCGGGGGAGCGAGCGGCGTGGGACCCCGTCAGACCCCGCCCCTGCGCCCCCTTCACCCCCTTCACCCCCAGCTCCTTTCTGGGACCCCCTGCCCCTGCACGGAGCTCCTCTGGGCGGTGTGAGGGCTGTTCCCCCAGAGGCAGGTGCGCCCCGGTTCCCGGCTGCACCTGAGTGCACATGTGTGCAGGTCACCTCCCCATCCCTCGGGGTGAGTAGAGCCCCCGGAAACTGCTAGGACAGGCAATGCGGCACACATGTCCCCAAGAGCAACTCGTAGGCCTGCGGGTGCCCATCAGGTGTGACCTAAATTGGGAAGCCCCCCCCCCGAGGATGATGGGGCCGCCCCGCGACCCCCATCAGCCAGGACAGCAGGTTCCTCGGGGCCGGAAACTCGCCCGGTTTGCTGTGACTCCGGCTCATGCTCCTAATAAGTGATGTAGGCACGAAGGGGGGGCAGGGAGAGCTGGGGGGACACAGAGGGGCCCCCGTCCCCTCCTGCCTTCTCCTGCCCCCTCACCAGCCGGCCACTCCAGGACCTGCCACCGTCACAGGCTCCGCGTCCCTCCCATCTCAGAAAGCAGCAGTAAACTCCCCTAGACACGTGACGGGGAGGAGGCGCGCTCTCCTGAGCTCCAGGTCTGTGTGGGGCCAGGCACCCGTGGGTGCAGGCCCGGCTCGCCTGTGGGGCGGGCATCGGGTTCTCCATGCTTCCCCCTCATACAGCTGCTGCCACACAGCCCCCAGGCAGGTGGCACCCGGGAAAGGGACATCGGGCTTGGCCAGCGACATGCCCCAAGGGTCCCTGGCTCCGCGAGGGCCAGCTCTCCGCGCTGCTCAGCGATGTCTGCGGCTGGGACCGTGCCGGCGCCCAGGAGGTGCCTGTGGTCCTGACACACGTGTCTGCTCCATCCCGCCCCTCAGCTCTCGCTGGCGTCCATCTGAGCAAGGGCACGGCCGCTCGCCCACCGTCCACAGCGAGGAGGGCCACAGGGGGCCGAGGAGACCCGGGAGCCCCCTCTGGGCGCCCAGCCCTCGTGGGCCCCCGGGGGGCTCGGGTGCAGCAGGGACACGGAACGCATGGCTCTCCCGAGCACCCTCTTCCTTCCCGGGATGTGCCAAGGGCGTCACCTCTCCTTTGGGGGCCACCTCGCTGGGACGAGAGGCAGAGTGGCCGCAGGTGTTTGGGAGCATGGGGCTCCCCAACAGAGAGCAGCCCTTCCACCAGGGACTCTGGGACGTGGGGGCCCCACTGGCAGCCGCGGGCCAAGCCCTCGGCGCCAGCGTCCTGCGGGTCGCCTCATCCAGCCCCCGCCCGAGGGGAGCGTTCGGCTCAGCTACCACCTGGATGCCCCGGGGATGCGGTTTCCAAGGAGAAGGCGCCGCCTTCCTTCTGACCCCCCCCCACTGGAAGAGAGGCCCCTCTCCCCCTCTCCCACACTCCGCGGCTTCGAACCAGAGGGGTCTGGCTCGCTCCCAAGGCCCCTCCTCATCTGCAACGTCTCCACGCCTGAATGAGTGAAGCCAGCTGTTCTCGGGGCTCGTGCCACCGCCCGGCCAAGCCTCACCCCTCCAACTGGACGCCTTCCAGGTCGGCGCAGCACTGCTCCTCCCTGGGCCCTGGGGCCCCTGCTCCTAGGCCCCTCTGCGTCCCGCCTCCTCCTGCCATTCCGGGTGGCCTCTTGGCGCCTGACCCCCGACCTCCAGCACCCTCACCTCTGTGGTGCTCTCCCTCCCGAGAACCCGCTGCCACCCAGGGTGCCCACTGCTGACGCGTCGCTCTGCCTGGGAAGCCGGGCCCTCCTGGCTCACGGGCTGCTTCCCATCTGTGGCCTCCTCCCCGCCAGCCTGCGCCCCTCGCCACGACCACCCTGCTTCATGTTCCATGTCAGCCAAGTTTCGTGTCTCTTTGCTCAGGTCCACTGGGAAAAATCATTCCAACCACTTGCCCGGAAAACATAACCACTCAACTGTGGCGGTGGCTTCCCGCTGTCACCCTTGCTGCCAGCAGCCCTGGTCACCCCTGCGCTGGTGACCTCACGCCGGCCCTGAGGGCCCAGCTACGCCTCTTCTATAGGTTGTCACAGACCCCGCTGCTCCTCCACCTGCAGACACTGCCCACTCTGCCGTCTAAGAAACGTGCAGGTGCTCTTTGGGGGAATCTGGATCCTACGCCTGTACCCCCGCTGCAAGGAGTTTAGGATGGAGGAAGATGAATGAACATTTGTCCGTATTAATGACCCCGTCTATTTAGTAAGGAATCAAACACGGCGGATCCGATGTAAATTGTTATCACGCTTCCCCGGAGAATATCTGTAAGGCTTCCTCTGCGCCCACGTGTGAAACTCTAGGCCTCGGAGCAAAGTAGCTGGACCCGTTTCCCCACATCCTCACTGGTGTCTTGTGGGCGCTGGATGTGAGCTCTGCAGAGGGGTTTCTGGAAGCTGGACCAGAAACTCTTCACCCACCAGCCCAGAGAGGCAATGTGCATTCTCGTGTGCACCTGGACCCCGGGTGGAAAAATCTTTCCTGAGAAACCGGACCCCAGTCCACCCCACGAACACATCAGGGGATACAGATTCACACCACACGGAATCCTAAGCTAAGAAGTTACCGTTTAATGAGCCCCGGGCCCGTCCTAGGTGTCCGGCATGAACAGAAGTGGAACCAGGCCTGAGGCACGCTCACCCCGCCCCACCCCAGGGCCTCCCACGGCACGCGCGGGGTGAGCCTTCCCCGGGGGTGTGCATTCACCCAGACAGGCCGGATTAGCACACCTACGAACTTCATCAACTGAAGCGCCCTGAAAGGAAACATAAAATTCGAAATGAATAGATGGAAAATGAATGAACTGCAATCCTAGGTAAAGAACCGGATTTGAGGAGGAACCAGAGCAAACTTCTAGAAATGACCATGTAGAGATTTGGAATTTGAACTTCCTGTGACACTTAAACAGCAAATTAGATTCAGTCAAAGAGAGAATTCATGAACCGGAAGACAGAGTTGCCACCCCCGCCCCCCCGCCCGCCCAATTCATGTTGAAGTTTTGACTCCCAGGACTTCAGAAGGTGGCTGTATCTTTGTACAGAGTCTTTAAAGGGTCAGTAAGTGAAAATGAGGTCGTTGGGGGTGGGTCCTACTCCCGTAGGACTGGTGTTTTTATTAGGAGAAGAGATCAGGACACAGACACACACAGAGGGACACTCGTGAGAGGTCACAGGGACAGGACGGCCACCTGCAAGCCCAGGACAGGGCTCAGGAGGAACCAGCCCCGCTGATACCTGGGTCTGGTGGCCTCCGGGATGGGAGCCTCCAGGGTAGGGAGACGGTTCATTTCTGCTGCTCCAGCTGCCGGGGCTGCGGTACTTTCCTACAGAGCAGGACACAGGAGGGAGGACAAGCTGAAGGAAGGAGTAAAGGCGCAGGGCTGGAGCAAGTCTGGGAGGCGCATCACCTACCCCAGGAGCCCCGAGGGAGGTGCTCACAGCTGAGGGAAGGGAGGTGTGTGTGCCCAGGAACCCACGGTCAGGAATCCTCGTGTTGGAGAGGCACACGGAGCTGGAGTGGAGCACATAGACCTACGTCCCAGCTGGTATACTGCGTGCCAGTGCCGTGAACCCCCCAGAGTAGCACCCACCACCACCTCTTGGCCTTTCTCCCCCTTCCTGGTCCACGGCGGACATGTGCTGTGTGTGACCACGTGAAGCGGGCTGTGGGGCTGTATTTCCTCCCGTGAGAGCCCCGTGCTGTGGCCAATTCGGCCTCAGGTCAGCATGCGTTGAGTCTGCACACGCATATGGATCGTTGCCTGTCACCCGCTCTTGCCCCTGTGGGTGCGTTTTATCATTTCATCGACAATTGAATAAACACAGAAGGCGACTCACTGCGGCGCCCTTGGGCTCGTGGCGTCTCCTTCTCGGGCCTCTCCCCGGCTTCCCGCCCTGCAGACCTGCCTCCTCCCATCTCTTCTCCCCTCGTGAGCTGCTTGAATGAGTGTGTGTGTGGGGGGGGCACGTCCCAACGAGAAGGGGACCAGCCTCGCGTCTTTTACTGCCGTCGGGGTGCTGACAGCTCGGCAGCACACAGGCCCGCCCCGGCCGCCCTCCCGAGCCCCCCCACCCCCAAAGACTGGTTCTTCTCCTGTGTCCTGTGCTCCCGGACAGAGCACCAGCATCCTAGATGCCCTGCCAGGAGCCAGGCGGCTTGCCCGCTGTCCCTCGGGCACCACCCACCTCCGACCCACCGGGTGCCCCGTGGAACTGATGGGTCTCAAAGCCTCTGTTGCTTGGTCCCCCAAAAGCAGGGCCGGGGGGACCCCCTCTTCCCTGAGACGGAGACCCTCCCAGGCTGGCAACGTGAGCCTTCCAGACACTGAGCTCTGGCTAAAGATCCAGAGACTGATTCTGGGAGCAGATCTCCGTTTCCCGTCACAGCCCCCGGCGCCCCGGGGCCACGGCGTGGGGCCCTCCGAGTACCGTGGGGCCCGGCGCAAACACTCGGGAAGCACAGGCCCGCGGCGGCCAGAGGTTTTAGTTATTTCTGCTTTGTAAAACAAAACAAAACAAAAAATGCAAACACATTACTGTGAGGAAATAGAACAAAATGAAAAAGTTCTCACTAGGAGGTGGGATTATGGTTAATGGTTATTTTCTTTAAAAAAATTTTGTTTTATGTATTTATTCAGTAATAAGTGTACATGACTTTCACAAAGGAACAAAATATTTTCCCCAAAGGCATCTGCGTGTAGACGAGGTAACCCCCCAGCTCTGTTGGGCAGAGACACGGGGAAGGGTGGGGAGGAGCCAGGTGTGCGGCTCGCCTCAGCCCTGCCCGGCCTCCCCGCCCCACCCCTGCAGCTCTTCTCCCCGAGGACGACGAGCCCCCCATGGCAGGTGTCAGCTCCTCCTGGAGAGGTCAGCCGTGCCGGAACCTACTGGTACTGGGGGGGGGGGTGCCGCCGATGGGCCTCACAGGAGCCCGTGCCCCCAGCGCTCTCCCCTCTGCAGCTGACCACCCAGCCTGCCTCCCCCTGAGCCCGGGAAACTCATAGGGGTGCAGGTGAGCCCTTGCCCGTGTCCGCAGCCACCTCTAGGGAGCCTTGGGGCTCGCTGTCTGCAGACTCAGCCGAGGGCGGGTCAGGAGCAGCGCCTCTGGCTGGAGGAGCCTGCACCTGCGGGCCCCACTGAGGTCCCCACTACGGGCGCTTGCCACGGCCCTGGCCTTCCTAGACGTGGGGGCCTGGGCCCATCCCACAGCCCTGCGGCCCCTCAGCCTCCCGGGAAAGCTGGACGAAGTTACCACCGGGGCTCGCGGGCCTGCATGACGCTGCTGTGGGTGGGCTCCTGAGGGACCCACGGCTGTCCGTCCAGGGCCAGCTCACCCCGGGACCCCGCGGGGCCATCCCCTCATCCTGCTCTCGAGACTTCGTCCCCGTGGAAGGGGCAGGTGCTTTGAGGAGGAAGGGGCTGCAGAGGCCTAACCCCCGGGGCAGAGATCCGCGCCCCCTCTCAGGAAACACCCCCCTCACTGCACCTTCCCGTCTGGGGGACCCCCTGAGGGTCCTTGCCTGTCTGTGCCTTTCCTGAGCATCACCCCCCAGTGTGTCTCCTAGGAGCTGCTCAGTCTGACCCACACTGACCTCAGACCTGGGGTGTGTCCCTCACAGGGGACTTCAGTCCACCCACCTCAGCTCCCACCTGGCCCTCAACCCCACCTGACCAGCTCCTGGGGTGCTCCCCCCTGTGAGCAGCTCCTGGGGAGCTCCCCTGCCTCTCGCTGCCCGCTGTGTCTGGCCCGAGGCTCTGTCCCGCAGCACCTGCAGGCCCGGGGCTCCATGAGGCGTCTGCCCCGTGTCTCTTCGTCATCGCGGACTCAGCACGTCCTCAGCTCGGGCCCGCCGTGGCCGTAGGACCTCGGTGCTGCTGGGGCCACTGCTCCACGGCCCTGTGCACTTCGAGGTCCCCCCAGTGCTGGGGTGTGGGGCTGCACCCGGCCCCGCAGGCCCCTCTGCCCCCACCTGCCCGAGCTGTGCGCCTCAGGATGGAGGTGTCCCCTCAGGGCCAGGCCTCCCTCCCAGCCGCACGGTCCCAGGCTCTGTGGCCCGGGGGGCGGCCTCACTCCTGCCCAGGGGGTGTCGGTCCCTGTGGGCAGCAGGATGTCCCCCGGAGCCCCCTCGCTGTCCATGTCTCCGGACCACACCCCCTGGGGGCAGGAAAGCTGGAGGCCAGAGGATGGGCATCTTCCCAGCCCCCTGAGCCAGCTGTGAGGAGGAGGAGCCAGCGCCTCCCGGCACAGCACAGCCCTGGACGGTCCCCGCTCCTCCCGCTCCGGGCTGGTCCGCGTCATGTCAGGGGGTGATCTCCAGGGCCACGTCCTAGGGCTGTGTTCAGCCTCCGGCTGCAGAGGGCAGCTCCCGGGGCCACCGACCGCTGGGCTGCGGCCCTGGTCTCCTGGGCACCTCCGGCCAGCGGGCTGTGCTGCTGAGAAACGAAGCGGGGAACCCGGGTGGGCTGTTCACCGCGCTCACCCCGCAGCCATCGCCAGCCTCGGGGTCGCACCGTGAAGCTCCTTGTGACGTGCAGCCCCCAGGAAAGACGCTCGCAAAGACCAAAGGGAGCAGCCTGTGTGTTGTGTCTCAACACCCCCGATTCTCTGTGGGCTTGGGGACCCCCTGCCCTCCAGGGCGGGAGCGCCCAGGCCACCCCCCGCGGCCCTCCTGCTGTCCGTGACCCCGGCCTCCACGACCCCTGCCGGGGCAGGTGCGTCCCCGAGCTGACTGCGAGGCCCGCTGCCCTGAGCACCGACACGGGGTGCTGCTGGGACTGAGTCCACACCCCCGCCGTCCCCAGCCCCGCCGCAGCGAGCCCAGCACACGCTCGCCGTTTGACTTGCAAGGTTGTCCCGGGATCTCAATGGGGAAACGCGTGGCCACGTCCTGGGCCCGACGGAGTAGTGGGTTGTCCGAGCGGCGTTTGCCGTCCGGAGTGGGTGCTTAGTCGTGAGCTCTCCGACGGGGGAGAAGGATGGGCCGGGGTTCCCGGCAAGGAGAGGCCATTCCTTCTAGGCTGGAGTCGGAATAATCAGAATTTTCCATTACTTATTTTTATGTGTTGCAGGCAGGGGTGGCTCAGGGCAATAGGAAGTTCTCCGGATTTTTTTTTTTAAAGATTTTATTTATTTATTCATGAGAGACACACAGAGAGAGGCAGAGACACAGGCAGAGGGAGAGGCAGGCTCCATGCAGGGACCCCGACGCAGGACTCGATCCCAGGACCCCGGGGTCACGCCCTGGGCCGAAGGCAGATGCTCAACCGCTGAGCCCCCCAGGGGCCCCAAGGTCTCCAGATTTTGAAGGGTGATAATCGCTCACACATTTTAAAAGTGGCTCCACAGTGAGGCACCAACCTCTGTGTTCAGAATGATCCCCTTTTGATAAAAAGCGAAGCCCTGACGGGGAAGTGTGCGGGCGTGCTTTTCACAAACACAGAGAAAGGGGAGCAAGGAACGAGAAATAAACCGGGTTCCTCTGGAGAGCAGGGTGGGAGGTCGCTGTCTTTCTACGCTCGTGTATGTTTTACTTCCAGGGATCGTAAGGATTCCGTGAAACGAGGCACAAAGAGCAGCAAGACCGCGTGTTTTCACCACCCGCCCTTCGGAGGTACAATCACCCGCCCGGCGTTACAAGGGGAGGCAAAGCAGGTCGTCTTCCTGTCCTTGCTCACAGCATTTATCGAGCTCCTACTGTGTGCACATCGCAAAGAGCGGCCGCAGGGACGCCCCCTGCCCTCAAATAGCCCAGAGCCAGGGCTTGACCCCGGGCTGGGCTGTGCTTTGACTGCGTCCCCGAGACGCCCCGTCCGGGCCTCCCTCCTCCCAAACCGCCACACGATGCCTTGCACACGGCAAACACTCGCCAGTCCCCATTTTACAGACTCATTTGTTAATTCACTTACGTGTCTATTATCTTCGTGAACGTTCATTGAGCACCTCCTGTATACCACGCTACGTCCGCAGGCCGGACGAATACTTGAGAGGCTGCGGAGCCGCGTGGCCAAAGGTACGATCAGCGACAGCGCCCCGTGTGCCCCGGGACCCCGGGAGGGGGGCATCTAAGGCTGGTGGGGGGTCTCGGAAGTCCGGATGGGAGTGTCGCTCGGGCTGAGTTTTGTAGCGAGAAGGAACCTGCCAGGTGAAGAGGAAAAAGCAGCAGAGTCAGAAAGAACAGAAAGAAAGTCAGAAAGAACAGGAGTGCACCATGCAGGTGCCCTCCTTTCCTGCTCACGCGCACTGGCCCCGTCCGCTCCGTGCTCTACGACGGACAGCGCGCACCGCACTTCCCTCCCCGCCCCGAGGATTCTAGTTTATAAATGAGCGACAGGCGCCCGTGGGGCGGGCTGCGTGCCTGGCAGGGTCTCGCGGGGCGGCCGCGAGCAGGACCCGTAGGCGCCGCTGGTGCGATGCGCGACCTGCCTCCGGAAGGTTTCCCGCGTCCGTCCAGGAGCGCGCACCCTGCCTGCCGGATGCACATGCAACGCGGGAGATGAATCGTATTATTATCTTATTAATCTCACTATGCCCAGATTCCAAATCCCTAATCCTTGTTACACCTACTTGATCTGTCCGGGGTGGAGAGAGGCCTCCCACTCCTGTTGGATTTTGTATGGTTTCCGGCGGTTTCTATACCATCATGCCGCTCATTTGTCCCATTTCGTCCACGAGTAATGGCCTAGAAGTGGATTATGACCTTGGTCTATACGGCGACCTTTTTATCCTGTTGAAGGCTTGTCTTCTTTCAATGCAAAGTAGCCTGAAATCACCCCCACCCCCACCCCGGGCCCGGCCCTCGCTCCCGGGGTGGCGGGCGCTTTGCCGCCGCTGGGTCCGCGAGCATCAACCCACCCTGTGCCCCGACTGCCTTGTGTGAAGCAACCGTGTCAGTGTGTTCACTTGTCCGACGCAGTATGGAGAGTCCGCATTTGGGACGGTGATTTATCCTAGAAAGGACGCACATTTTTATTTTAAGGGCTGCCAGCAAGGTTCCCGGAGGGGAACTGTCTTTGTTCAGGACGATGCCTGGATGCGCCCCTCACCTCGCTCCCCCCGCGACACCCCGGCCCCGTGCCCTGGGCTCGGCACACTCGGACGGTCTCTAGCCCTGCCTGCAGTCCTGCCGGCGGAGGGTCCTTCGGGAGGGACCGCAGGTGCTTATCACCTGGGTACAGCCTGGGGCGTTCCCCCCTGAGATGCTGGTCTCTGTGCTGTTCACTCACATGCGAGAGAAGGACGACAGGGGCTGAGCCCGCGCCTGCACACGGGACTCGGGGGCCGTGGTGCGGGAGGTGATCGTGCCCCCCGCCTACCCCCTCCCTCTGCCCCCCCCCCCCGCTCTCTCTCTGCAAGGAGGCACCTGGGCAGCAGCAGCGCAGGGCAGGACGGGTGACCAGCCCCAGGCCACACCTTGGGTAACTGTGAGAAAGCCCCTTCCCCGTGGAGCAGGAGGCGGGGACAGCGCTGAGCGGACGGCTGAATGGCCGCGTGTCTGTACGGGCAGAGGACTGGAGGGTCGCTGGTGGGCACCAGGTTCGGGGAGCCGGGAGGCTGGGGCCCCGCCAGCCTGAAGGAGCCCCGGGAAGGGAGCCCCGTCTGGGCGGGGTCTGCAGGGAGCCCCGCACGCGCTCAGGAGTCAGAGGAGGCCTGGGCTCGGGCGAGCCTGCTGAGGGTGGGGTGGGGTGAGTGTGGGGACCAAGGCGTGAGCAGGGGGCACCGAGGGCTGGGTTTCCAGTGGTCTCTGCTGCGGGCGGAGTCCTCAGAGTCCACGCAGCCCCGGCCCACAGTCCCGAGTCTCGGGCGCAAGAGAGCGCTGACCCCACTCAAACCTGGGACAGCGAGACAAGCGAGCATCCTCGGGCCAGGGTTCCAGCTGCCACGTAATTATTCAAGGCAGGTCCCAACGCCAATCAGATGACCCCCTACAGAGGGAAGGGGAGCCGGCCAGGAGGATGGGAGACAAGGTGGCAGGCCACAGAGCCCGGGGGCCTGGCACGCGGTGCAGACAGCATCCCAGGGCGCGCGAGCCAGAGCCCAGGATTCGGGCTGGCCGCAGGTTGACTCACTGCAGATGACAGGGATGCCCCGCACTCAGCGCCCCCAGTACCCCCATCCCCCCAGCACCCCCAGCCTCCCAAGGGCCCCCAGCACTCCCAGGGCCCCTAGCCTCCCCATCCTCCCCATCCCCCCAGCCTCCTCATCCTCTGCAGCCTCCCCAGCATCCCCAGGGCCCCCAGCCTCCCCATTCCCCCCAGCCTCCCCAGTGCCCAATGCCCCCAGCGGGTAGGTTTCTGCACCATCTCGGGCACAGCTCTGAGCTTGTCCCTTGGTGCTCTGTCCACCGGCTGCAGAACGGGCAGATTTCTGGCCTCACGTCTCCGCAGGAGCGGGCCTGGGGGTGCCGGGATGGCGAGGCCCAGCAGGGCCAACGAGCTGGGACGGGAGGACGGAGGACAGAGACTCCTGGTGCAGCTCCTGTCAGGAGATGGGCAGAGGCGCCAAACGCACGTTTTCTGCTCGAATTCCTGCCAATTTAATTTTAATGTAACGAATAGCAGTGCGCGGTGTGATCAGTAAGATTCCCGCCACGCTGCTCCCCATTCTCGCCTCCTCCCCACGCCCCTCCCTCCTGTGTCCTCCGACGGCCACCCCACACCCCCAAGGACCACCTGGCACAGTGCTCTTTGGGGGACTCGCCCAGCCGTCCTGGCCCCGGCACCCGCAGGGGGCTCGCCGACACCTGCAGGCCCGGGGGTGCTCTGCGGTGCTCCCCTCCTAAGCTCGGGGGGACATGCCTCACCCGAGGCACCCACACAGGTCAGCCCCGGCGCTGGGCGCCCGACCCCCTCTGCGCTCAGCAGCCTCGCCGGGGTGGGGAGTCTCCTACCCCCACCTCCCCGCCGCTCCCGGGGGCGCCCTGCCGTGGATCCACGCCCGCCTTCTGTTGGCAGACGCCCGGGAGCACAGCAGCGGCTTCAGGGACAGACGGACAAGGTGCCTCCGGGAAGACGAGGGGACCCAGCGCAGCGTGACGGGCAGCACCACCCCGGCTGGCGTTTCTCCTGCTGCCGGGACGCAGCTTCTCTCTGAGGAGACAAACCTCCTTCGAGAAATATCTGTGCCGCTTTCATTTATAAAACAGGGCTTGTTCATTGTCAGTTTTTGCAAAGTCACACATCCAGAAAGTGTAGGGAAAAAAAGGAGAAAGGAACCCGTGGAAACCTCACCAGACCTGGTCGTCCTGCCTTCAAAGTCTTTGCACGGAATACATGGAAACATAATTGTTTCAGGAAAGGGGTTATGTGATTAACACTATCCTATCGGCTAATGTTTGCGCTTGTGCATGGAACTTTCCTTGGATAATTTTCCCTGTTGCTAAACATGGATGCAGCTCATATGTGTATTGTATGATGTATGAAATATAGGTAATTTATGCCCCTATAAATATGGTGCTTTTGCACACGTACAACACACCTCATATATATATATATATGCAAACACATGCACATGCATGTCCATCTGTTTTACAGGCTGCATTAAATCACGGATGGACAGCGGTTTATTTAAGCAACTCCGTTTTGACAGACACTTGGCCTGGTTTTATTTACTTTAGAATAAAAAATAATGCCGCCACGAGCACCTTCGTATTCTTGTGTGAGGGTTCTGTAGACAGATTTCTGCAGGGGCCCGTGCTGGGTGGAAGGCATGCATAAATTAAGCTCTGATGGACACTGTCAGGCTGGGTTTGCATCAGCAGCGCAGAAGCGTGTGGGCTCCCG